TTAACACCTTTAACTAAACTATTAAACATGTGTGTGCCAGGCACACAAACCACCTCTCCTCAGCACAAAGCACTAGGTGTGTGGCTGTTGTCTTACAGGCCCTGACAGGGCCCATGGTATATAGCTCTGTCTCCGGGCCATTAAGCTTTAGGATCTAACTTACAGTAATTCAAGAGGAATCACCTCATTTGTACTTTATACACATCAACTTGTCTCCCTCAGGGTTTTCTAGTACTAAACTGTTTTTAGGGTTTCTACTTAGTGTACCTTTCTAGTTTTTATGTATTTTTATTTATTTATTTATTTATTTTTGTGTGTGTGTGTGTGTGTGTGTGTGTTTCAGAGACGACTGCCTTCTGATCACTCTTCACTAGAACCGTATGCAGCTTGCCCTGTCCAGCTCTATCACTGACAACCATCCAGGGTGTCGATGACCTCCCTCCGCCCCCAACACACATGCACAGGACCTTCCATAAGACCTCTTAGAAAGTGACTGTGTGCTCTTCACAGAAAGGGGTACAAGCTTATTATTCTCCTCTAAACAAATCACTGTCAATCTTAGCCTCACAATACAAATTCCAACTACATTGTTCCTTATTTACTTAGCAATTACTATTTTTAGAGCAAGATGTCTTTAACAAAATCCTGGTAACTTTATTTAATAGTTTTGTTTTTTTTCTTTGGGGGAGGGGGAGAGTCAGATAAGAAATAAACTATGATTTAAAAAATACAGAATTTCCCCCTATTAGTTTCCCTATTAAACAAAAGCAGGCACTGTCACTCTCTCTGGAGCCCCCAGCAAAAAGCACAAACCATTGTATGCTCTTTAGGATCAGGCCAAATGACAACCTTATACTGGAAAATTACTAAGTGACATTCTCCATTTTTGCTGGGATTAGCTGGAAATGTTACTGAATTGGGAGAGAAGCCCGCTGAGGGACAATCCCATTTCCCCATTCACAAGGGAGGAAAGGAGCTCTGTCTCTCAGCGCAGCAGCATCGTAGCTCCCACTCAGGTGATGCAGACAGCAAGGTCAGAGTGTACATGTGCAAACTGAAATATGGGATTTAATGTCATCTTTATGAAGTATACTGACACCAAGACGATAAAGCATGCATCAGGCCCATTCAACAGAAGACTTTTACAATGATTTACATTTCTTTTTATTAATTCATTGAAACTGCCCATATTGCAGGTTTCTCATGGATGAAATATGGAACTGAGCAGATTCTTTTTTCTACAAAATTATGGTATAAACTTGCTCAATTTTCTATCTTATTGCTAACAAACCTTACAGGCGCACAGTTTGTAAAATAAACCCCTTAAGGACTGAATGTGTAGAGCATGCTGCAAGGTACAAGAAATAAGCTAAAAATGAGCATATAAATCTACATTTGGACCAACACAGTACTGAATGCTGGCAAACATTTATCACAACACAGGGAAAATTAATAAAAGGGGACACAGTTCAGTCCTGAAAGGGTTAAATAGAAACCCTAATATATTATTGTTTCTAACCATCCAACCCACATTACAGTGCTTGAAACAAAGTCAAAGTCTGGCACAGAAAATTACACACATTTGTTCAGTACTCATCAGAAACAGCTGCTTTCAAAATCAAAAGTAAGTAACTTGGTTAATAATTGAATAGCATTTTGTTTCAAAAAGGAACCTCCCTCCCCCCATGGATTATCTGGTTAAACATGACTAGTTAAGTTTTCAAAAAATGCATGGGGAATATTCTGTGAGAGCACAGACGGTACCAGTTTCATTAGAAAAATAAACAAAAACTAACCAGTTATGATCACAAATAAGTCTGTGCAGCAAGAGTGACAAACAGGTCACTAATATATATATATATGAAGATGCCTTCCGTCGCCACAGTTTAAGAAAAGTCAGCAGCAGGTTAAATATTACTCTAGTGTTCAACTCTGAAGTCATTCAAAATACAAAGGGCATTCTCCTTTTAAAGCCCTGTCACTTGCCTTCCAAATCTGTGGATCAATTCAATGGAACTAATAAAAACATATTGGATCACAGACTCAGCTACTATGCACATTTTTAGAAACTGCATAGAATCATGAGAGTAAAAGATACACTTCTAAAACAGTATTAAAAAAACAACAACAACTCAAATGTACTATCCTTTAGCTGAAGCAGTTCCCATTCTAAGAATGTCTTCATCACAGAAAATAACCAGCATCTCTAATGCCACCAATGGGTGGGGGTGGGGCCCTCAGGTACCTTTTACTATAAAGAGAGGACAAGGTTCCTATAAATTATACACTCAAATGATTTACAAATCCACAAAACAGATTTTTTTTTTTTTTTAAGCAGCTGACAAAAGAACTCCTTTAACAGGAGCTACAACAGACAAACCATTTCACTCTTCAGTTTGTGGTTCGCAGAATGACCAAAAAATAGCAGGGGAAATAAATGCCTATAAGTACATTTTTGGATTTATCAAAAAAAACCAAAAAAAAAAAAACAAAAAACCCACAAAATAGGAAGAGTTTACAGCCTAATATTTCAATTGTCTTATTAAAAGAAACAAAGAGCCAAAATAAGATATATTTAAATAATAGATATGCAAAAGTTCACTTTTAATAAAGTCATAAACTTGCAGGATTATTTTGAGCTGCAAAGCTGGGCAAGAAAGCTTCAAAAGTGTCTCATCTGTTATCAATTAATTTAATGTAATTTTACAACTAAACACCACACCTGGGAAGTGGAGAAAACTTGTGAGCCATTAAAGTAAAAGCAGAACTGAAAACATCTGCACTCTGAACAAAAGCACTGTGCAAAGGCTGCTGGCATGAAAACAGACGGAAGAATAAATACTAGTCGGAAAAAGGCAAGAAAAAGCCAGTAAACAGTCAAAACAAAGAAAGATAAGGCCACACTGAATTCTGCCCTTAATCACTGACAGAGTAAGGAGTGAGGCGGATCGGCTCACCGAGAGAGAAGCTAGTGACTGGAGCAGTTTGAAGAGAAGGCTACCTGTCGTCCAATGGGTAATTAATTACAAAGGCTTGCAGAAAGAGAAAACCAGTAACTCTGATTTTACCGCTAATGTGTTTTACAAATAAATGGCTTCTCCCTTGAAACTAAGGGAAAAGTCATGTAAAGATGTTAGGAATCCTATTTACAATGACACAGTCTGAGCAAAATGAGTGAAGATAGCAAAGCTAAAAAAACAACAAAAAACGCTACTAACAATGTCATTGAAAATAGCCCAGGACACCAGAGAGACGCTGTTCTGTATGGAAATGACGAATGTACAGTTTTCGATCACAAGGTGCTTTGGCTCCTGTTTTATGGGACAGTAAAAAGCTTACCACAATCTAGAGGTAGTTTTTACTCTAACAAGGATGATTGTATTACTAGACTGTGTCCTCGGACATCACACACGTGGTTCCTGTACTGAGTGTAGCCCAGCGAGTCTGCCGCTATCTCTAAGGACGGAACAAAGGCACAACCAAAGTGCAGAAACAGAAGCAATGTGAGGAACGGGGTAGCTTGGCGGGCAAGGCCAACACAACCCTGGATGCACTCAAATCTTAACTGAAGGGCAAAGAAATGTTTTCTGAGTAGGAGACATCTATGGAGATGCTCGGTACTGGGAAAGAAGATTTTTTAAAAAGGCAGAGAAAGAAATGGTAAGATAAGTTACATTTGCATTTTTATAATCTCACAACTATGTGTTTCTAAAGTACTTGTCTTTCAACTACTTTAGTTCACCAACTAATAAGAGCATCTTGTTTTAAGGTTACAATGACATCGTGGACTAGGCTACCAAAAACATAAAAAGTAAATAAAAACATGCTTTTGCTGAGATTTTCCTCATTATACAATAAGGGCACCGTCTACCACCTGGTAGCAAATATTTCTATGATTTTTTTGTTGTTGTTATATGTCAAAAAGGCAGAAAACACCCTACTGAATGAAATCACTGGGAACATTACAAGTTCAAAATAAAACGTTTAACTTACACATAATACAAGTTATGTACAAGGTCAGGTGGGGGAAACCTGAACAAATCCTGAAACATGGAGACACATGTTTGCATGGGGGAGGGGGAGAGAACACTTCAAATATCACATGTCCTGTGCCATTAACTCACTCATGACTAAATGGCCACACTTAATCCCATGTAAATGTTAGAACCGCTTGGATCACCACTATAAATACATTTTTTTTTAAAAAAAGAAAACATGGAAATAATTGCCAAATGTCTGAGAATAGAGACTAGTTCATGTACATTGCATGTATTGCAGGCAAGGCAGAGGCATTTCTTAAAGCTTTTGCACAGACTTCATATAATCTTTTAAAAAAAAAAAAATGCAGGCCTTTACAAGATTTGACTTGCTGAAATCAAAAGAATTTCAAACTCATAAAAAGTCCTAAGACTTCAGCTTTAAAAACAAAACAAAGAAAGAACAGTTCCGGCCGTAGATTAAAAAAAAAACTGCGAGTATGACAGCGAGACTCAGCAAGCATGTCAGGCTTGGAACCTGCGCGTACTGAGGAGTAGAAGCTCCGAGGGGCAGGGAGAGGAGCACCTGCTTGGTAACAAGGTGTGCTCTAGGCGGTGATATAAAAAGGTATGGTGAACATGTACCTTTACTAAAGCTTATACAAGGTCCTTGGTCCATAAAAACTATGTTAGATTTGTGTCTTCTAGTTTAACGTTTATTCCAGCCACATGTCTATTTCTTGCCCATTTAAACAAAACCAACCAAAAACCAACCAAAAATAACAGCTGAAAAAAAACTGAGTTTCCAATAGTTTGTACATGTTGATGTTGTTTTTTTGTTTGACTGTGGCTTCTGCACTTCCAATCAGCACTTGCGGGTCATGGGGTTTTTGAATAGTATCACCTGGTATGAAAAGTTTTCCCAAGAAACCACAAAAGATTGTTCACTTTTCTCTCTCTCTCTCTTTCTGTCAATCTTTTGCTGCACTGGAGTCAGTTTAAGTCCCAACAACATGACGGTAGTTAGGACACCACTGTTGCTGTAGATGATGTGACATTGGTTGAATTTGTGCTGACGCTTGTGTAACTTCCCTCGCTGTTTGTGTTTGATTCATTAGGGGGCACTTGGCTTGAATTGGCTCGAAGGATTGCTCCCGCTGCACTGCAGTGTGGCCGAGGCCCTGGTTCTGGTGTGTAGGTAAAGGTAAGGCTGGTGGAATAAATGATTCCATCATTTCGGACCAAAGTTACTGGAACCTGGACTGGCTGCCGGACCCATCTCCAACCTTCTCGGAATGCAGAAATGTCTGGGACAACACAGAGCATACTCTCTCCACACCTGAGGAGGAAACATAAACACAAGGCAATTTTTAGAACTGAAACTTCAAGTTGGGTTGCTAGCAATCAGTATCAGGAAAGAGTCTCAGATACCCACCCACCTCCAACTGTGGACGATATAAAAAGTTTTACCAAGTACCTGTACATCGTTTCCGCTTCTACATCCCCAAACCACACCCGTAAATTGGGAGTGAAATTCTGTCCTGTGAGTTCAAGCATTGCGACGTCCCCTCCACCGTTCAGCTGCAATTCACAGAAGACCAGAACAGCACTGAGAACATTTTTCACACATTAAAGTGCACAGATATCATTTGCGAAATATGGGTGATTAAAATGCTTCTTTTAAATCACATGATTATAAAGACAAAGTAAACTAAAAAAAAAAAATCAAGGTTAACATACAAGTTGGTTTTAAATTTAAATTCTTTTTGCATAAAATTAGACTTATTTTTGTTTTTCTATTACCAGTAACATATAACAAAATACCCAAATCACAATATTTGGAAAAAACTCAATTATTGTGAAATAAAATTATGCTAATCATAGCTGAGAGAAGTTACAAGGAGGTGATCTCACCTGAAGACTCTCTACGACAGGCACAGGTGTGACAGGGGCAAGGACAGGGCCCATTCCCTCGTAAAAGGTATACTCTGCCTTATCTGTACTAATGATTGTCCAGGAAGCTCCATCATTTATCATCTCTTTATTTGGTTCTTTTGGGCATGGAGTGGCCTTATGAAGAAAGTTTAGAAATTTTTATATGTATTGCAATATAAGACAATTTCAATAAGTAACATTTGTAGACTAGAGTTAGAATGGAAAATGTATAAACTTCATAAGCATGGTGCTTTGCCAAACCCTAAATAAACACAAACAAAATCCTATATAATAAAAGACTAATATGCAAATTGATCAAATGGTGGAACAACTGGTTGCTATGACATGCACTGACCACCAGGGGGCAGGCGTTCAAGTAGGAGCTGCTCTCTAGTGGAATGCTGCTCAGCCAGAAGCCCTGAGCTGGGCTCATGACTGGTGAGCACAGCAGCGATGGCAGGAGCCTCTCAGGCCTCAAGGCAGCACTCAGGGTGTCCAACTGATGGCCGTCAGTCAGACATCCTCCCAAGGCTCCTGGACTGCAGGAGGTGCAGGCCAGGCTGAGGGGCACCCCTCCCCCACACCCCAGAGTGCACAAATTTCGTGCACTGGGTCTTTAGTAATAACATAAAAACCTAACACAAGTTTTTATTACAATATGAAATATTTCAGTGACTAATACTAAATAACTGGTACTATCTTTCAAAATAAGCATTTCTGAGTATATCAGTACCTGTACAATTATTTAAATAAAAGATGAGTATCTATGATACAAATAGCTGTTTAAAACTCTTTAGGGATCCTGACTTGGTTGGATGGCCAATTGGAGTACCATTCCATTCACCAAAAGGGTATAGGTTCAATCCCTAGTGGGGCAAGAACAGAGGCAACCAATCAATGTTTTCTCTCTTTCCAGAAATCAATGAAAACACATCATCCCCCAGGTGAGGATTAAAAAAAAAAGAAGAAAAAAAAAAAAACCTCTTTAGGGCTCCCTAAGAAAGAGAGACTAGAATCCTCTCCTGCTAGAAACCTGTGTACTTTCTTAAGAAGCAACCAAGATGTGAATCATTAGCCCCTACCCCTACCTTAAAACACCTGGACCAGTCCCTCAGCGCTGGGCCGAGGAAACGGCTGCGTGGCCATACCTCTGGAACAGGTCTCCAGATGTTACCAAACTAGTTTCCCATGAAAGTATAACTCTCCTGTTAAGATGCCATGTCATAAATGTCCTCAGGAAAGCCTTCTGAGTAAATGTAGTTAAAAAGTAGCTTTTGAAACATGTCATCATACTATTCTGAAAGACCCCAAAATTAATCTGACGAGAAATGATGAACCCGCCCCCTCCATATACAGGGTGTGCACACAACTTCAGGGTGTATTAACTGAACACCTGAAATCTACTTTTGGATGGCCCAAGAGGCCTTTTGTCCCCCAGAGCTAGATGTTACTGTTTCTCAGAGAACGTGTTCACGAGTTTTGAGTTCTTCCCTGAGGCAGGGTGACCACATGTCGGAAGACTGTGTGGGCTGAGGACCCTTGGACTTGAGAAAATATCTGAACACAGCTTCATGTGTTCGGATACAATGAACATTAAGCAAGAGCTTCCTGTTTCTGTATGCTATTGGCCTAACATACATTTTAGGTTTCACCAGTAACTTAGAAACCTACCTGAAACTGGATTATTCTTTCTTGAGAAAGGCACAAGTACATTCTTTCTGTATCCTTAAGGTAAAATGCACATTTGTGGAGCTGTGACACAGGATCATCTGCGTCCAGTAATGCGGTCTGCTTGTCAACTTTTCTGATTATCTGCGTGTCAACAATTAAACAAGAAAAGGTTATCACACATGGAAAGTTTTCAGTAGGTATGCTTTCGATACCTATAGAAATAAGCTATACATCCTTACTTGTCATGCACCTACTCACACAAACATTTATAAACAGTAGGCCAGGTATAGAAAATACCTTTAGATCACAAGCATGTTAGATGGTGGGACCTGTCCCCACTTCGACGAGCACGTAAAGCCGATTTCTAGATCAGTGCTTTTACACCTCAATGTGCAGACAAGTCACCGAGGGCCCTAGTGCCAAGCCCGCAGATCTTGTGTGGGGGTCACAGATTCTGCATTTTTAACAAACTCCTAGCTGATGCTAATCCTTTTTGTCTATATTTTGAGTAGCAAGTTCAGATGACCTTTCCAATAAAATACAGTGACAAATTTTAAAAAAGTAAAAGTAAATGACAGATAATCCAACATGAAAGGAAAAAACTATCTCTAAAGGCTACATTGGTTTGGTAGTCAGTGTAGTCCATGATCTGATATATACATACATATATATATATATATACACACATACACACACACACACACACACCACCTATTTTAAGTATATATGTGTGTATATACATACATATATATACATTTATACATATATACCACATGTATTTTAAGTACTTAAAATAGTTATCATTTTGCAGATTAGAAATGGACTCAGAAGGTCAGGTAAGTTCCTCAAAATCACCTGCTTAGTAGCTGAAGAACCAGAATATGATTCCAGGACTGGCTGCTTGCCCAGCCTGAACTCTTTCCATTACGCGCTACAAGATTATAATCCAAATATTCCACAAAACACATGGATAGCTGAAAAATAATCCTATCACACCTTAGAGGCACTGGTCACACAGAAGGCAATCAATCACTAAGGGTTTGATGATTATGAAGGTCACTTCCAACAGTATACAAACATTTAGAACTACTTTCATCTGAAATCAAAAATAAAGAAAACTTCCTTGACTACATATCCTCGTTCCTCCCCTCTCACCATTCCATTTTGCTTTCTGTTTCAGAAAAAGAGAGTGAGCATGTGGCAGAGTATACTAGGAGCCTTTGCTTTTGTTTTGGTAAGAAAAGCAGTTTTTTACTATTTCATGATCTCCCTAGTGAACAAAAATTCCTAACCTATATGCCTCTCTCCCAATTTTATTTCCTTTTTAATAAATTTTTCTTCTTGTGGAAGAGTAAAATGGTAAAAATTAATTTATACTTCTAAAGATATAAGAACTTCTATGTTTCTGAAAACTTGGTCCTATTTGGGATGCAGCAGTACCACAAAAAATGAGTAAAGTATCTGCATTAAGAAAATAAATCACAATGTAATTTTATAGTGCCTTCTATTGAACATGTTCGGATATACAACCAAAAAGGAAAAAAATGCCACCAAAACTTATTAGAAATAGTTCAGCAGGAAGTCATTAATAATACATTCATAAAAACTGGCTAATTGCCTTAAAGCATTTTAAACATAAAGTGGGGTAAAAATGCCAATTATAAATATAAGTGCTTATTGATATCTCTTTTTAAATTAAAAAGCATGAGCTTGAATGTTGTTGTGTTTATGTTTCCTTAATTTTTACTATACATATTACAAAAGCAAAAGTGGAGCCATACCAATCTTGGGAGTGCCATGCCAGTAACGGAACACACAAGTTTGACTGTTTGTCCATAATGGATGTAGCCATCCCGAACTGTGAATTCTTCTCCTTCGGACTCATCATCATCCACTGGTGGAGTAAAACAGAGATCAAACCGTTATCTTTTAGAATTCATTAATCTGCTTAGTAAGATAACAAATTTAATATACTCGCACATTTTCTTATCAAAAAGAATTTATAAGCTTCACATCAGAAACATCAAATGCACATTTTTATACTCACAGAGATGAATGTAAAATGCTCCCCACTGCTGAGAACTGGCATGGAAATTACCTCCTTCTACATGCAAATATCTGGTACTAACGGTCTGGGATCGAAGTCGATTAAACAGAGCCACCTTTGTTCCTGAGGCGATGCATACTGCAGAGAAAAAAATAGCTCCTGTTTAGGTGACTGGAGGTGAGAGGGAGAAAGAAGGGATTGGTACCTGGCAAGTTATGGTTGTTCTTTATAATTTAACTAGAGAGGGCCGCAGGGCGGTTGGCTGGCCAGCCCACCCTCTGGTTGAACTCCTGGTGGAGGGGACAATTTGCATATTATTATTTTTTAATATATATAGGATATTTACATTATATTAAATTAGTATTATAATTTAACAGATTCTTTTAACAAATTTTAACCCTCCAAAGAATACAGATAATAACTCCCCCAAAAAGAGTCAAGCTGAAGATATAAAATATGCCCATAAAAATCATTTTAAAATGAAAATTATACAGTGCTATTTATTAAAGGGAAATTATTTAAATAATAAATGTCTAGCAGTGAAAACTGATGAAATTATAATATCTATTACCCATTTAAATACCATATATCTAAATGCACTGATAAGAAAATATTTGTAACAAACCAAATAAACTGATGATCAAAAATAGACCCAGAGTCATTGAAGAATGAACAGACTGTTGAACCTCAGAGGGAAGGCAGGGGAGGGTGGGTGGGAAGAGATCAACCAAAGAACTTGTAAGCATATATGCATAACCCATGGACACAGCAATGGGTGGTAAGGGCCTGGGGTGGGGGAAGGATGGGAGCGGGCTGGAAGAGGTTAATGGAGGTGAGGGGGGCGAAAGAGGACCCTTGTAATACTTTCAACAATAAAGATTAAAAGAAAAAAAGAAAAGGAACAAAAAAATTCATCTTCCTGGAATATCACTGAATGGAAAAGCAGACTATAAAACACTTAGTATGCATCAAATGCACATTAGGTAAATATACATTTATGTGACTGCACATGTGTGCTCATACCCAATCCTGTGGAAAATACTCATAGGGAGGGTCTAGAAGGAGGGTTACCAAGTGGATGGCATTTGCCCCTAGATATTGTGATTATTAGAGATTCTGATTTCTTCTAAATAGCTTAAAGCAGTGGTCGGCAAACTGCAGCTCGAGAGCGCAGTTTGCTGCTCTGTTGACTAATGAGTTTGCCGACCACTGACTTAAAGTATACAGCAATGCATGAATTTAAACACACACACACACACACACACACACACACACACACACACAGCCACATCTATGTAAGCAAGAAAATATTCTGAAAGTAAAATGTTCTCTGCCATCAATAAACTTTGTCAATAGAAATTCCAAGTTGAAGAGGTTAAATAAAATCCTGTTATTTTTAATATTAGAAATAGCCTGAATACATAACATTATATCCTGATCCAAGAACTCTTTACCACTATGAAGTGAGCCTTGCCCTCCAAAAACAAAAGAGCCAAAGAACAACTAACTTAAATCTGAGCAAGCTTCTACACTCTCCTTGAACAAACTTTAGACAGGCTCTCCCAAGCCTTTTCCATGGGCCCAGTTAATGTAAGAATCTTGCTAAGCCATCCTCCTACTCTCGTTATCTGATCAAGTTCCTCCCCAGCCCCCAAGCTTTCCATCTAATACCCTGGGCCTGCCCTTAGCAAGCATTCTGTTAGACTGGTTTGTCAAAAATCCCTCTACCTCTGATATCTGCTCCTAGTAAAATGTTCCTCCACTGGCCCTCTCCACCCCTCACTCTGCTCCTTGACTATAAATCCCCATTTGTCCTTCTATGAAGACTTGAGCTCAATTGTACACTGATGTCTCTTTTCCCTATTGCAACAGTACTGAATAAAATCTGTCTTTACCACCTTTAACTAGTGTCAGGCAATTTCTCTCTACCACCACAAATTTACAGAAAATACATTAAACTACACCAAGGAAATGAAATTAGCAAAATCTACTCTGTGGAAAGTTCTCATGGCCAAATGACTCAATCTCTTGAATAAATAAATTACAAGAAGAGAGTGAGAGAGGAAAAATGAAGAGGGAATCTAGATTAAAAATACTCAAGGACATGTCAACACAATATATACTGTAACATGTGGTGGACCTTATTTAAATTTTGATTCAAATAAAGAGCTAAATAATGATATTTTAGACTATTTCAATACTGAGTAGGTGTTTGATGAAATTATTTCTTTTTATTACATGTTTATTTTCATGTGATCATGTCATGGTGATTATATTAAAAAAAAAGAAAAAAAGAAACTTCATCTTTCAGAGACACACGAAAATATTTATAGATGATATAATGTCTGGGATTTGCATCAAACTAAAATGAGGGTAGAGTGGGGTGTAGAATGAAGAGAAGTTAAGATCACTGTTAAAGTCAGAACACAGAGGTTTCACTTCATTATGCAACTCTGTCTAGTATGTTTGAAATATTCCATAAAATAAATAATAATAACAATTACTAAGTGGACTAAAAAACCACTCACTATTATATAAAAACCTGTAAGTTCATAATAAAAATAAAACAAAACAGAGCAAGCAAACAAAACAAAAATCCTAAAACTTAATGATCACCTTCAAAGAATATTATCTTTAGTCTGCAAATTAGTAACTAAGCATTTATAGTGCCTTTCCTCTACTGACTACATTTGAAGCAAAGAGCTAGCAAATGCAGAAATGATGAATAAAAGAATTAGAAAAGTCACCATTTTGCAGTCCTTGATGAAATCTTTGATTTAAGCAGCAGCATCAACAAATATTACTAAAGCCATCAGATTAAAGACTGCTCAGAACTTTGTAATGGATGGGCTGGGCTAACAATAGCTCAATTTACTATAAATCAATCTTAACATGAAAAGAAGTGGGATGATCAGATATTATATGACTTGATTCCATAGGAATGAACATATATAGGACCAGATAAATCGAAAATGAAAGTCTTGAGGTCTAACCACCAACTTATGGAAAATATGAGAGAAATATGTAATCAACCAGATCCGCAGTGTGGACATTCCAAAGGAAAAATGACCTGTATCTTAACAAAATAAATGATAAGGAAGAAATAAAAGGTTGGAAAAGGAGAGAAGAAACTTATACATTAAAATGCATGCTTTGTTAGGATCCAGTTTAGTCAATTGTTATAAAACAACAAAAACACAATTGTAAAACCATATGAGGAATGTGATAAATCTACACATAGCTTGGCTTTTACATCAAAGAACTGTCAACTCTGTTAGGCGTAACAACATTTAAAAATAAATTATCTGTTAGTCACTATTGAAGAAATGGTAGCTGAAAGGATAGGACATTCACGATTTACACTTAAATATTCCAGCAATTGGAGAAGGAGGTGCTGGTGGTGATGGAGATATTGAAACAACTGATAAAAACTGCCGAGGCCAGGTGGGTGGTCACCTTATGCTACTTTGTCCCTTTCTAAGTTTGAAAGTTTTCATAAGAAGAAGTTACAATACGAAAAATGGGCATAGGAGTTGAAATGTTTAATGCAAACAGACAGCACTTATCTCTGAGAATCTAAAGCTCTGCTGATGAGATAGCAGTCTCTGGCAGAGAACCCTGTGAAAAATGTTGTGTAGGTTCTCAGGATGGCCCTGCAAGGCCTATCTGACCTTGTTGGTAAATCAACTTTGTGGAATGGGGACTCTCTTTGTGGGATGGGGACTCCCAAGACACCAATGCTAACATCACTCGCTGCAGTCATTGTGAGAGCAAAACGGGGAAAAACTCCTATTTTCTAAATGTCTCTGGGGAGCAGTGATGAAACAACTCTAGTTCATTTTCAAAAAAAGAAAAAAGACAATAAAACAGCAATAATTAACGAATGTGACATCTTCAGGTCAGTATTAGTGGTAATTTTTAAAAATACAAAAATATTATCAAAGAGTGAACTGGCTATCGAAAAGCAATTTTTAATTAAAAAAAGTTAAATTTATCTTTCATGGTGGGAGTTGGGGACAAAAGAAAATTTAAGTATATACATACAGTCAGCATTTTTCAATGACTGCTTCTTTTTGGAAGGTTTGGAGATGACTTTTATCCGCTTGCTGAGGAATACACCAATGTCATCACTGTTGCCATAGAACATCTTTACAGACAACATGAAATGCTTTCTCTTGTCCGAATCAGATATGTACAATGTTTTGGCTGTGCAATAGTTCTGCGAAAGAAAAGGAAAGTTTTAATAGCACCAAAACCTTGTTATGGACCTACAACTCTGTATGGTCATGGCTAGGTTTGATCAGGCTTAAATGCAGTAATTTCAATAAAGCTGAATAAAACCAACTAAAAAATTACTGAAATCTCAGATTACAAAGTACCGTCTTTCTTATCAAGTCTATAAAATACTAACATTGTGAACTATTTTACCCCCTCTAAAAGAATTGTGAACACTAGTCTTTTCTTGTTTTATATAACTCTACAACTATATCACAGAATTATCAGTATTAGTGGTAATTTTTAAAAATACAATTTCATAGCTAAAAGAAATCTAGACTGTCTTTCTATAAAGAAAACACAGAAATAAGGCCATCAAAATCCAATCAAATTATGTAAAAAAATTTAGTAGTGGTCCTTCCCAAGGTAGTGCATACAATGTGAACAGCAGAGTAACCACCTATAATCCTGATAAGACACGGTCAGTACTAACTGGATACCAACAAAATATCTTACGCCAGAAAGGGCTTCTATGATTATATTTTATTTAAAGGACTATTCTTAAAATGTTAAGTTTGCCTATTGGGATAATTCATATTGTATCATCAAAAGAACTGAATTTAAAGGTACTAGAACAACTAAATACAGCAAGACATTATGTCAGTCTATCAGAAAATATATTCTGGTAATTTAAAATATAGTATTTAAGAGTTACAGCATTTGCAAAACAGCGATGATGCCTACTTTTTCAAACATATATGAGAATTCTAAGATCTCTCCTATCCTCCAATCTCTGTGAATTAGGGAAGGGACTAAATTACTTTCCTTTTCCAAACTAGGTAAAATGATAAACAAAGCTAAAGTATTTAAAATATATGAATTACATACTTTAAAAAAATCAATGCTCTACTTTAAAATTAGGCTAAGCACATTTCTATGACTACCTCTGCTGTGTATTTCTTTTTAAAAGCAGGGCAAATGTCACTCATTTAAAAAATAAGTGAATGTGTTCTAGGTTTTTAAACTTTGAATTTTATAGGCAATTTTAGTAGCAGAACAAAATGATGCCATAATTTATTTTATTTTCCAATAGCAAAAGTTTTATTTAAAAATTTAGATGCCACCTTGAATATTTTACACTCAATTAAATTTTTATAAATCCAAAAGTGTGGTAAAAGCTTTGACTTTGTTCTGCAGATGACAAAATTAAGACTAAGCTAATCATGCTACCCTGTTTCCCCGAAAATAAGACAGTGTCTTATATTAATTTTTTCTCCCACAGTTGCGCTAGGTCTTATTTTCAGGGGATGTCTTATCTTTCCATGCGCTAGGTCTTACTTTTGGAGGATGTCTTATTTTCAGGGAAACACAGTAGTACAAAATAAATAAGAACAATAGTATTTGCATTCACACTGATCCTTTCACCCAAGGATCGCTAAGCATTCAAAGATGTTGTGGCAGGAGCCATGTATAAATATTTCAAAAAGCATGAATGGTCAAATTAAGCCTAACCTATGGAGTTATCAAATAAGACAAAGCTTAGGAATATGGGTATCAATATACTAAAGCAGACAGGCACAGGAAACAAAAATGAAATTTGTATCTAAATGAAGGTAATGACATTGTAATGGAAAAATTTGAGTTCAAATATTAAGGGATATGATCAATATGAGAATAGAGTGTTAACAAGGATATGATCAATATCGGAAAAGAGAAAATAATGAAACCTAACAAAAATGGTAAGATAGACTGGCAAACAGGAAAGGCAAAAAGGAGTAGAGAAGGTTGAACCTACACACAAAGGGCTTTATTTGGTTTAGAAAAGGCAAACATACATATATCTCCTTGGAAAGAAAGGAAATACATCCCTAATTACTAAAGTAAGCAGGTTGAATACACACACACACACACACACACACACACACACACACACACACTCATACTTGAGATAATTTTATTAGAACTATTATTATAAAAAATATATAAGGCCAATGACAACAAACTAGTTAAATTCCAAAAGAGAAAAGGGGAGAAGTCACTGACTCAAAAAGTATTATGGCTTTAGCAAAGTGAGTAAATAAAAACTGAAATTAATTTGTTTCATCATACCAAAAGGCTAAATTAGCTACCAAGATTCTATAAAATGTTACATATAAAGCTTTCTATAAATAATAAACAGTTTAACTCAAAAACGACTCAAACATCTACCCTGAAATGAAAAAGAACTACTGGTCTAATGCTGCAAAAGCATTGTGGCGATTTAAGTCAGGAGCAAAGTGCCTCTTTGTGAAGTTCAGCATCCCACTGCTCAGGCCATCTTTGCCTACCTGGGCCCAAACATACCACGTTCTCTTGCCTTCATGCCCAAGCACATGATTATGTCCTTCTTTCTGCCTACAATGCCTTCTACTGACTTGACAAATCTTGCTTTATATAGACTTCTCTAATAGCATTTTCCATTCAAACTAAATATTAACGCATAATTTCAGCACATAGGCATTGTGCTACCTTATTAGTTTTTTTAAAAAAAATATATTTTATTGATTGAGAGCTAGAGAGCTAGAAATATTGAAGAGAGAGAATCATCGATCAGCTGCCTCTTGCACACCCCCTACTGGGGATGTGCCCGCAACCAATGTACATGCCCTTGACTGGAATCGAACCTGGGACCTTTCAGTCCACAGACCGACACTCTACCACTAAGTCAAACCGGTTTCAGCTAGTAAGTTTTTTAAATGCTATTAATGCTTGTGCTCTCATGTATTATTTTCCTATTCTGTGAATTTCTAGGGCGTAGGGAAAGAATATAATGGTAGAAGTTGCAGCAAGATATACTAAGCTATGATGCTGGGAAAAGTGAGTGGAAATGCTGTTTGGTTGGCATTACTTAAAATTGCTGGAAGCTGAAATTGGTTAAAGCAAGCAATAATTAACATGATTATATACATTGTGGTCTCTAGAATCCCTAGCTCCTCAATATCTACCTATCAAATCTAATTAATAATAGTACCAAATGTTAAGATAAAACTTGAGACACAGAACTCTTGAGACTTTCTATATGAGAAAAATAGGTAAGACATTTAGGCCTATTAGATAAATCCACCACTTACATCCTTAATTTTGTCTCAAAGATCATAACTTAGAAATACTTTATACTGCTATATTTTCTTTTAAGATAAAGCAACCTTTATTGTAATAAGTTTTATCATAAATCTAACTTGAAATACATAGTTGACAAATCTTGCTGATAAAAATTATGAAGATACAAATGACATAAAAAGACTCAAATTTGATATAGGCTGATATTGAGGCTTCTTATTGCCCATTCTCTATAAAAGGATTAAAATTAAATGAGAGTACAAATTCCTTGCTCACCACACTCAATGCTGTCCTACAACCCTTCCTAAGGCCAACTAAGACACTCAATAAAAATATATTAAATGAAAAACTACCTTTATATGCATTATTTTAAAAGACACTTATGTGGTCACTAAGATCAGAACTAACCATTTTTTAAATTTTAATATCAAGGGAAAACAAATGTTAAATGCTAAATCATAAAGAATTATTTTTGAGTACCAAAGGTACAGATTGAAATGACTGCTTTTTCAATATATAATATACAATTAGTAAAACTAATACATAAGCTTCATTCCCTAAAAATTTAATTTAAAAAAAAATCCCTAAAAATCTGACTAGAGCTAATTATGGCTGTGCTTGCCTATAGTATAGTTCTGCTCCACACAAAGGTGAGGAAAAACATTTATGATCTTTATAACCCAAGTCAATGCTTCTAAGAATTTATCTGTATAACTTTGCTTCTGGATTAAGACTAAGATTCAGAGAGCAGAATAAAATACTATTGAACTAAGCATTTATCATTTGAGCATCATGACCCTGTCAGATCAGTGATCAGACTCCTAAACTTATTACTTCCAATGGAAACCTGATTCACAGCACGCTAAAGCTGCTAGCTAGCTGAGTGCCACCATTACATGTCACCAGCTTGAGTTCCATGAATCATGACTAGCCCACAGCCATTTGAGAAGTTTGTTTCTGGTTCTGATCTGCGTTTTAAAAAAATTGTTACCAATAGCTGACTTGTACATACTTTAAAACATTTATGCCATGTCTTATCAAGGGGCCTGAAAACTCAAATAGTAGCCAAATAAGTAATGTAATGTAAATGGTGAACCAGGTATACAATAAAGAAGGGGGGATGAGAATCACTACCACAAAAACTAATAAGGACACTACGAGATTCTGGTACCATGGTGCCTTTATGAAGAATCAACAGCTTTAATTTACCTTTCCTTCCAAGTTCAGCTGTTGCATTTCTTGGTCACTGTTTCCTATTCCAATAAATGCACATGGTTGAGATTCTTGTTCAGAACAACCATCCCGTTCCATTTGTTCTTTTTTTTTCTTCCATCCACTGCCCATAAGATACACACAAGGAGGCGGGCAAAAAAACCTAAAACAATTCAAACAAAAACAATGCAATTAGATTTAAAAAATGCATTTCCTTGTTTGAACATTATATATATCCTATATAATAAAAGCATAATATGCAAATCAACCGAACAGCTAAACAGCAGAATGACCACCTGGACAACCATCCGGATGACCAACTGGGACCATGCTATGACACCCACGGAGCCAGGCCAGCCAAGGCGGATGCGATGTGATTAGTCGGGAGCCAGCATCACCCCATGATCACCCTGCAGAGGGAGACCCAGGCCACGGGCCGGTGGTGCAATCAATGGGGGACCCCACAATTGCCCCAAAGAGGGAAGCCCAGGCCACTGGCCTGGGCTGCAGCAGGTGGGCGGGGCCTCCCTCTGTGAGGGAAGCCCGGGTCCTGGGTGCTGGAGGGAAGCTGGTGCCAGCAGCCAAGGAAAGGAAGGCCTACTCTTGCACGAATTTTGTGCATCAGGACTCTAATAAGAACATAAAAATCATATTGAACTGCACTAAGTTAGCTCCTAATGAAGCCCTTAATAATGCAAATAGTCACATGAGGATACTAAAGGCTAAACTTCCACTAAGACTACATTTGGAAGGCTCTCCTGTGTGGAGTGATGCATACAGTTCAGAGTTCTGAACTATTAAAGTTGAGCAAATCTAATGTACTCTAACATATTACAAAACACAATACGCCACACCACAGAATCTACAATTACTAAATAGGTCTCAAAATGAAGTAGTATTATTTAGTGACAGTACTGCTATTGCTATTACACCTAACTATATTATATAATTAACCTAGAAAATAGAATTAGAACAATGGCCAAAGTAGACTTTCAAAATAGCAATAAAACTAGTAGAATTAAAAGCAAAATGGATGATCACTGAATTATTATGCCTTATATATCTTATGCCCACAACACCTGGTGCATGTGGACAGTGAAAGAATAATACACTGTATCTTTTTAACTCTCAGACTACCAATACCTTAGTTTCACTATTTGCCAAAAACCTGTCCTCACAAATCCTTCCCACCTAGAATTACATACTTATAATCTTCTCTTTAGCAATTAAAAAAATATCTATTTCAAAGCCTAGCTCAGACCCCATCTTTTACATAGTTCAGATCATCAACCTAGTCCTTCTATAAAATAAAAGGCTAATATGCAAATTGCCCCCTCGACTAGGAGTTCAACCAGGAGTTCGACCAGGGGACGGGGCCAGGCTGGCAACTGCCCGCAGACCCTCCTCCCAACCCTAACAGCCCCCTATCAGGGTGGGCTGGCTAGACCCCATCCATGCACAAATTCGTGCACCAGGCCTCTAGTGTAGGTTATAATTTGCCTTTGCTCAATTACACATGCTGACTTGTACATTAAAACATTTATGCCATGATTATCAAGGGGCCCAAAACTCAAACTGTAGCCAAGTAAGTAATGTAAATGATGAAACAGGTGTACAATAAGTAAAAATATCCTTTAATTACCCAAAGAAGAAGGATCTCTCCCTTCTTTCATGAACTACTTAGCCCTCATGGTAATTCCCACTTTTTGTACAGTTATGAGTATAGGGAATTTTTTCTTAAGAAAAACAAGAGCTTAAATACAATTAAAATTAGCTACAGGTGTATGGCTCCGATGACAAGATAGTAGGGAATGGCAAGCCTGTGAGTATATACCAATCACACTGCTGAATTGCAGGTATGTAGCCCTAGAGTTGGTCACATCCTTCAATTGTTCAATAGATGCCTGAAATCAAATTTTAAAACTTGGACACTAAATGATGCTTTGTAAGCCAACAATATGCAGACTTAAAAAAAAAAAAAACTATACTTGCATACTTGTGTGTATGCATACACAGACGCCGCAGACTGATTTGGCGCTCAGGCCTTCCTACCGGCAGTAATATTACGTTCTTGTTTGCTCCTCTCCCAACACCTACTACAATATTGATTGAATAAAAATATATGATGGAGTCCTAGCTGGTTTGTCTCAGTGGATAGAAGCGTTGGCCTGAGGACTGAAGGATCCCAGGTTCAATTCTGATCAAGGGCACATGCCTGGGTTGTGGGCTCAATCTCCAGTGGGGGGCGTGCAGGAGGCAGCCAATCAATGGTTTGCTCGCATCATTGATGTTTCTATCTCTCTCTCCCTCTCCCTTCCTCTCTGAAATCAATCAATAAATATATATTTATATATACATATATGTATGTATTGGTGGCACCTTCTTTTTCCTCATCCTTTAAAGACCACTTAGAGGCAATCTATATATTATATAATAAATGAGCTGGGCGTATTTAATAATGTTAATTCACCAAATTATTTATTATATCCCTAGTCTGTACCAGGTGCTTCAAAATAGTAGTTTTTAAAAAAAGGACAAAAATTCCTGTCCCAATGCAACTCTCATTCTAATATGAGAGGCAAACAATTTTTTAAAAAGAGTAAAATAATGAATATAGTCTGTTATCTGGTGATAAGTACTGAGAGAGAGAGAGAGAGAGAGAGAGAGAGAGAGAGAGAGAGAGAGAGAGAGAGAGAGAACAAAAAGCAAGAAAGGGGGTAGTTAAAATGTTGAAGACCTATGGCTGGGGGAAAACTTCTGTAGGAAGGTGACTTTGAGTCACAACCTACAGCCAAGTAGCTGGAGTAGAGAATAGATGCAGCAGAGATAATGGGTAAATAGACCAAGTAGGCCGTTAGGGGTCAAGCTGAGTAAGGAGGGAAGCCTCTGGAGTTTCCTCATATTCATCTAATCCATCGGAGCAGCTTTCCTGACTGCACACTTTCACACTGTGGACACCGAGGTCACAGGAGAGGCAGTGGGCTCAGCTCCAGGTCACTCCAAGGTCAGAGGGATTCCTGAATTAGCTGGACTAGTTCTGGAGTTGGCTCAACTAAGGTCCACATCAGGGGTCGCTCTGGTCTCTAATGCTGAGAGCTGCCCAATGATTATCATGGCACAGACTCAAACACCGAGCTGGCATACATACTCTCAGGAATATCAATTTTGGAAACTTGTCTCCTATTGGTATTTTACTGAACATTAATGTTAAGACTTACTGGTATACTAGCTATAAAATTCAAAGTGCTGTGCTTCACTATAGCATACCTAATATAGTAGTCAAATCTCATTAAGTTTTCATAAAAAGTACTTATATTCCCATCTGAAAAATATAAAGAGGGTAAAACCTGTCAAAGACTGGGTAGTACTGGTTCTCTGAAAAGTCCTATAATAAAATGTCATGAAACTAAAAAATGTGACAGGAGGCAAGACATTCTTTATCACCCAAACAAGGTTCTTTAATGAAAGTGCTTTTTCAATCATGTAATAGACAAAAAAAGACTCTTCAACTGCCTTTGAGCTAGCCTTGTTTTTTTAATCAACTTTACAATTATTCCCCAAAATTGTGATAGTTGTAACAAATCCAATATAATTGAAACAAAGATTATTTCTGTTTCAGAAATAACAAAGATTATTTCTGAAATGTGATAATGAATACTTTAAAAAATCTTTAAAACATCCTAATATTACTACCTCCTAAAAACAGCTAATGAATCAAACTTTTATTTCTACAGATTTCAGTAGTAAAATAATAAAACAGAAGGTAAGTTTATGTACAAAAAAAGATGGGGGGGGGGAGTATCCTTAATTAATAATTAGAATACACCTTTCTAATGAGGTGTAAAATAGGTTTTTAAATTTTGACTAGATTGTTAATGTGTACCAAAAACTCAGTGAGTAAAAAGTTTGACCATCAGGAGGCCAGCTAACAGAGTTTAACAGCTGCTGTGAAAGGATATCCTATGAAACAATGTGCCTTTTTATTTTCTAATCTTTCCCAGTAGCTCTAAGCACATAAATCAAACAATGCTTTTTTATTCCACTTGGTGGCGATATAAGCACACTTATGATTTTACTCATTTCCTAGTTCAATACAATTATTCAACAACTTTTCTCTCATATCCTGAGATAAGATCTGAAAAATACCTTACAAATTCAAAGAAGCCTTTTTATTCGGCCCAATATTTAAAATAGGTTAAATGAAAACCAAGTACATAATTTACATTATCTGTTCACTTTGCAGAATCATTACCCTTTGATGACTATTCAAAAGCAACAAAAAACACCTGGAACTGTCTGCAGCCACAGTCATCTCAATTAACACATTCTCAGTATGACTTCAGAGGCATACTCTATCTAAATTGCTCAGGATTTTCACTATTGCCTCAACACATCACCATCACCTTCACTACTGCTTAAGTAGGTTCCTTGACAAAGTTGAAGGAATGTTAATGTCAAATGGCATCCCCATTTCTTTAATAGAAAATAGCCTCTACACAGAATAATCTTTAAAAGTTTATTTTTCATCTTGCAAAGATCTTCTTTCTTCCATGAAAAGGTAAAACTAACTACTAACATAAATGGGATACCATATGTGCTAAGCAAACAAATTTTGTTATCAGGCACAAAAGTTAGTCTGTACAATTTATAACTGTATGATAAAATTTCCTGACCAAACTTTTCCAGCCTCATTCACTGGAGTTATTTTATATGTTAAGAAGACTGTGGTCAAGTTCCCAGGATACCTTCACCCTTTATGCCTCAGCAGCTTTTCAGAAAATCCCAAATCTAGATCAACAAGCAAGAAGGCACATCTGCTTCCCACTGTGCACTCTTCTCAATGAGTAAGAGACCAGACCTCTTCCGGGAAGGCTGGACTGCATGAATGTTTTCTTATTACTAATACATCAAAAAAAAAAAAAAAAAAAAAGGTAATTTTAACAGGTTTCCACCTTTATTATAAAACTAATACATGTCCACTTGAGAAATGTTAATACAAACATGTAAAAATATAGGAAAGTAGTTACTCTAGGTCAGTGGTCGGCAAACTGCGGTTAGCGAGTGCTGCTCTATTGACTAATGAGTTTGCCAACCATTGATCCTAGACTCCTGATTTCAAAAATTACAGGCCGTTGTTGTTCCTTGTGATTAAGCCCCTATCCCAGTGGTTGACAAACTCATTAGTCAACAGAGCGGCAAACAGTGGCTCGTGAGCTGAGGTTTGCCGACCACTGTCTAGGTATTTGGTTTTTCCCTCATTCTTTGTAGGCTAGAAGCTTAGACTCTTCAAGCTTTCCTTTGAGTGGTGTTTTAGATTAACCAGGTCATCCTATCTAATAAGAGTATAATATGCAAATTAGCCAGCACTTTGCTCAAACCACGCCCACCAGCCAATCAGAGAGAGTATGCAATTAACCCCAGCCAAGATGACTGCAGCCACAGAGAGCAGTTGAGAGGCTTGGGTTTCCCCAGCAATGGAAGCCAAGCTTTCCGCCTGCCCTAGCCAGCCTAGGCCTCCACTCAAGGATACAAAGTTTCAATTATAGAAGATAAATCTCAAGAAAAATGGTGGCAGCCATGGAGCTGAAAAGAGCAGGCTAGGGTTGCCCCAGGCAAAGGAGAAAGCAAAGTTTTACATCTGCACTGGCTGGCCCAGGCCTCTGCTTAAGGCTACAAAGTTTCAATTGTAGAAGATGCATAAAACCAAACAGAAATGGCTGTAGCTGGAGTGATCCGGGGGCTTGGCTCTGCTCCAGGCTACAAAGTTTCAATTGTAGAAGGTAAATAAATTCCAGATACCAGGGCCTCTGCTTGGGTCGCCAGGAGGCGTGGCTGGACTGCAAACCACCAATGGCCCCTCACCCAGCCACCCCACAGCCCAAGGAAACCCCCAGCCTGATCCAGGACACCCTTCAGGGCAAACCAGCTAGCTCCCACCCATGCACCAGGCCTCTATCCTATCTAATAAAAGAATAATATGCAGATTGACCATCACTCCCACACACAAGCTGGCTGCCCCCATGTGGCCAAAATCCTGCACCCATGTGGACACAAGATGGCCAGCAGGGGAGGGCAGTTGGGAGGCACCAGGCCTGCAAGGGAGGGCAGTTGGAGGTGATCAACCCTGTAGGGGAGGACAGTTAGGGGTGGCCAGGCTGGCAGAGGAGGGAAGTTGGGGGCAAATAGGCTGGTAGCAAGCAGTTAGGCATCAATCAGGCTGGCAGGGGAGTGGTTAGGGTGTGATCAGGCTGGCAGGAAGAAGTGGTTAGGGGCAATCAGGAAGGCAGGCAGGCAAGCAGTTGGAAGCCAGTAATCCTGGATTGTGAGAGGGATGTCTGACTGCCCATTTAGACCCGATCCCAGGGGATGCTAAACGGGCAGTTTAACATCCCTTGAGGGGTCCGAGATTGGAGAGGGTGCAGGCTGGGCTGAGGGACACCCCCCCTCAACACCATGCATGAATTTCTTGCATTGGGCCTCTAGTATTCAAATAACAGGAAATAAAGGCAACCACAATAGAAATAAATAACCCTTAAATCAAGATTTTAACTTGATAAGCCACTTCAGCATCTTACTCATATACTTTTAACAGTGAGTAATTAACAGGGACGTTATCTGGACTTAGATGTAATTTTTTTAGTAGCTCTACCCTTCTGTTATTGCCACTAGGCCTGTTATCCATCATAGCATTAAATGACATCCCAATTGTAAAATTCCCACAAAAGATCATTTTGCATAGAACCTGGTCAACAGAAATAAAGAATAAATGAGATACTGAATGAATCTAATTGCACTAAAATGTACCTTCAAAAATCCGAAGAAAGGAAAGCAGCACTGCCTGAATTGGCACCCATACAGTAAGTATGTCTAATCATATTTCTATTAGATCTAGCCCAGCCTCACTCAGCTGATGGCAAAAGGAATAATCCTAGGCAAAGTTAAGTTTATTTAGAAAAATGTGTGTTCTTTAGGCATCTTAACCTCATCCTCAAGCCCTGTTGTAAATAACCAACACTCAAACACAAAATGGAAGACTATGGAAATTAGGGCAACAAAAAGAATAAGACATTTGTTATTATAGAACCAGGAGTAATAATCCTGGCTACATGGCTTTCCAAAGTGAACTTGGTATTTGATTTCTAGTTTACTCACTCACAGAATGGGGATTATAATATACCTATTTATAAGATTATTCTGAGAATTAAAATTTTAAAACACTTGTAAATGCAATTCCAAAACAATGTCTAGAAACTGTTTCTTCCTGAGATTCACTGTGAGATGCAAGACTGGCCTAATTTGAGACTCATCTCAAATAAGGAAGGTATTGCCTTGCTAGGTTTTGCTTAGGAAAAATCACACCAAAACTAAAAGAAAAAAAAGCAGATGAACCAAACCCAAAATGCACTCGCGGGCACACACACACACTTTCTGAATTTCAATTCTCTCGCTCTGAATTTTGAGTATCAACTTCATAAAAAAAAAAGGAGCCACTATCTTGATTTGGTCTCTATGTCTCAAACTTCAGATACCAACTTTTTCCAATATTTAACTATAAATCAAATGATTAGTTCTACTAGTAAAGAAAGATAAAATAATCAGAAATTTAGTAAGCTTAAAAGGTGATAAACCACAACACTTGGCAGTATGAGTCCTAAGTACTACTTTTTTCACTTGTTCATTCTCTTTGAAGACAAAATTATCAATAGCTTCACCTACTTTTTAGCCCAGATTTAGAGAACTTTAAGGAAGAGACTCCTTAATTTCTTTCCAGCATGTAAATTAATTTAATTATATACTTACATTCACTTATTATATATATGCTAAGATTTTCTTTATCTATAATTCCACCCATTCCTTTCAACCCAACATCCAAACCTGAGTTTTTATTCCTTTTCCCAATTTAGTGTCATATCTTTCTAGCCAATTCAAAAGATCTTTCATTTTCCCCCATAAGCAAGCCTTCTGTCCATGAAATGCTTAATAGAAAAATACTGCCTGAAAGACAAAGACTAGAAAAACTATTAAGAAACTTCTAGAAAGAAAGTAAAAATACAAACAACCGAAGTCCACAATCATACATAAAAAATACTGAAATTTATAAAATACTGTGACTAGTACTAAACATAAAGATCATTTTGGCCCTAACAGTTTTGGCTAGCTGGATAGAGCATCGTGTGGACTGGAGGGTCCCAGGTTTGATTCTGAAAGGGCACATGCCTGGGTTGCAGGCTCAATCCCAGTGGAGCACATGAGCCGATCAGTATTCTCTCGCATCATTGATGTTTCTATCTCTCCCTCTTCCTTTCTCTCAGAAATCAATAAAAATACATTTTTTTTTTTTTAAAAATGGTACTCAGGGTCACATCCTATATAATAAAAGCCTAATATGTTAAGTGTCCGACCATTCCTTTGACTGTTCAACCAGTTGCTATGACATGCACTAACCACCAGGGGGCAGACACTCCAACTGGTAGGTTAACTTACTGCTGGGGCCCTGAGGCCCTTCTGTGATCCCACCCCAGCCAGTCAACCTCCCACAGTCCGCCCCAGTCAGCCAGCCCCAACTGGCCCCAATCAGGACTGGGCAAGACAGGCCAGACACTCCCCAGATGAATCTGTGCACTGGGCCAGTTTCAGCCTGATCCCTACAGGCCAGGCTGAGGGACCTCAACCAGTGCACAAATCCGTGCACCGGGCCTTTAGTTTATTTATAAAACGACATTTACACCAAAAGGAAAGCTACTTTTTTGAACAAGCTAATATATTCCAGAAATACTTATAGAGCATCATGATGCTCAAAAGAAAAATTACAGATTACAGTTTGTAATTATCAGGGATTCAACCAGATGATCTCTACTAAATCTGCCATAATTCACTTTGTTTCTCCTTCAAGAGAGACAACTCCCCTATTTTTCATTTTGTACTTGCAAATAACCCAAGAGAAACCATTCTTGCATATTAACACAACATTTGCAAATTCATGTGACAGCTACAATGAACTACCCACCAGAAAATATAATACTCTTACCTTTTTTCATTTCCATATGACTTCTGTGCAACTTTTGCGTGAAGAATAAGTACTGTTTGATCCCCTCGCTCTTTTAAATAATTCCGCATTGCTTCCCTAAAATAAAAGAAAAATATTACTATTACAGGGGTAAGGTTTAAAATATTACTAAGCTTTGTAATGTGAAAAATACTTGTGAGTATATTTTAAACAAGCAAATCTAAAACAAAAACATTAAGGCAAACTAACTCTTTAAATTTAAAAAATATTACACAATAGGGGTAATTAATACTGCTCATCTTCAATTCTATACTTTTTTCTTTTAAAGAAGAAACTGTCTTTCATTCTTGAAATTTAGGATGTAACTGAGCTAAACCACAATTACAACTTCCAGAATCACTACGAACAGTGCTAAATTCGGCTTTAAATTGTTCATAAAATTAATGACATGTAATACTTTGTATTTAATGATCTACTTATTAGAATGAGTGTTTTTCATTGAATACAAAGCCATAACAATTCGTTAGGTCATCCAAAGTTGTTATTATATGTTCTTAAAATAACAAGCCTTACATAAGGATTCAGAAAGGGATATCTCATTTACATACAAACACACAGTTACTAAATAAATTTTCGGGGGGAAAGTTAATCCTTTCAAGAACAAAGCAGTCCAACTATCTATTTATTATGTATACATTATTTAAAAAGTTCCATGTGTTAAATATATTTATACATTCAATTATTTTGCTAAGCAGTAGGTTTACACAGATCAAATTTATAACTATTAATCAGCAGAATCACAATTCTGGAGATTTACCCACAATACAAAAGTAAAGCAAAGTTGTTTCAAAGGCAATAATCAGGAAACAGTTTTAATAAGTCAAATGCTGTTTTACTTATATTATAAATAAAAGACAAATGTATTAGGATAGCTACAGAACAGTAGTACAAAAGTGGGGAATTCTAGAGAAACTATGCAGCTGGGACAAATCATTTAACTTCATCCAGACTCAGTTTCCTATCCGATTATAACATGATATTGCTAATCTAACACAAAGTGGTTGAGGGGATTAAAGGAGATAAAATCTAGAAGACAGCATTTATGTTTACTGCCTGAAAACCTGTTAGCTGCAAGACAGGGCAGGTTACAATGGTCCAATATATTGAGAATTAATCCCTATCCTTTAAAAGTTCAGTGAAGACAACAGCTCAGAAAACAAATTGTAATGAAATACATGATCCAAAGAGAGGTATGAATAGTAGGGGAATGTCTCTGTAAAGAAGAAATGGGTGATAAAGGACTACATGTTTGGAAAACTTCTTAGAAGAGGTAATCTCTGAAGTAACAGGAGTAGACAGAACAAGTAAGACATCCAGGGTCTGGGAGTAGTATGGAAAAAGTCACAACCAACTCTGCACATTTGGGTACAGCGAGATAGTCAAGCTGAGGACTAAAAAGTGAGAGTCAGAAATTAGAATCTCAAATTCTCTTGTTAAGATACTAACATAAGCCATGGCCTTGAATAAAGCTGACAAGTTGGAAGTCAAATTGTGAAAGGCCTGCCAAATCCCATAAAATCTGACATTTGTAACTTAAATACTCAGTATGAAAGCTTAAGCTAATTCAAATATCACTCTGATAGATGAGAATCAAAATAGTAGTAGTTAATAAAAATGTTTAAAATACCTAGAGGAATACTTAAATTGTTTTTAAAAAATACACAAAACAAACATCTCTCTGAAAATTGAGAAAAGATCATTTACTTTTTTTTTATCAATACCCCATTGTAGAAAACACCATGAGTGGAACTTGGATTTTTCAATCTACACAAAAGGCAATTAAATGATCTTGGGGATTTTTAAACAATTTTCCTTCTTAGTTAATTCTAGTGGTGTAATAGAGAAAAGATTAGAGAACAGAGATAAGACACACTTGAAAAAAGGCTCATACACTAAGAAAGAAACACAAGGAGGTAGTAGAGAAGATTAAAAAAAGACTTAACAACTCTTTGTATATTTTGTTTGGGGAGAAGTGGATATCTATAATAATAAAAGAGTAATATGCTAATTAGACCGGGAAGCTGAACGACTGTCCAGATGTCCTTCCGAATCAAACTGGGGCTGTGAAGGCCAAGCCCCCTGCACAAATTGCGTGCACAGGGCCTCTCGCATATTAATAAGCTGACATGTCAACGCTGAAGCGCCCCATACCTCCATGCTAGAAGTATTGAACAGGTTGTTGGAAATACCTGCACTTCCAGAGAGAGGTCTGGACTGCAAAAGTGGGTTTCACTGGTATATCATTGGCAAATGAAGCCACAGAAATGAAAGAAATCTCCAAGATTGAAAACAAAAGGAGAAAGAAGCTGACTGTGGAAGGTAAAACGACTGAATGGTCATATCAAAGTTCCATCTGATGTTGAAATCCATAAATGATGGTGCAAATTCCCATGAACACTCCCAAGGGTGGGAACAGAGAGAGCATATTCTCGAACCTGTTGGGTACTAGACAAAAGGGGCTGCCTGGGAAGGATAGTGATGGTAAGAGATTTGAGTGTTGCTTTAAGTCAGGTGGCTAACTACAGAGTTCAGGGTGGAATGAGAACAAACAACAAAAGCCAGGCGAAGGCACGCATGTCCGGTCCCTAATATGAAACGTGAAAAGATCTCACTTAGGTCATAATATATTGTCCCTTCTACATAGTGTTGGATTCATTTTGAAAACTGCTTTTATGTTCATAAGGAATACTAGTCTATAGTTTTATTTTCTTGTATGTCTTTGCTTTTAGTTCAATAATATGGCAATACTGTCCTTACAGAATGAATTGAAAAGTATGTTCTGATTTCCAAATTTTTGGAATAGTATGTAGAGAACTGGTATAATTAATTTCTTAAATGTCTGGTAAAATTCAACAGTGAAATCACCTGAGCCTGTAGTTTTCTTTGTGGGAAGACATATAACTACAAATTCAATTTCTTTAACTATAGAGTTATTCAGGCTATAAATTTCTTTTTGAGTAAGCTTTAGTAGTTTGCTGGTTTCAAGGAATTTGTATGTTTCTTCAAAAGCTTAATTTACTGGCAGAAAGTTATTCATGTTTGCTTATTATTCTTTAAATATTTGTAGAATCTGCAGTGATGTCATCTTTCTCATTTTTGACAGTAGTAATTTGTAAATAATCAGATATCTATCTGGTATGATTGTCCTGCTTAGAGGATTTCTTTAATATTTCTTGCAGCTCATACCTGTTTGTGATGAATTATTTTCCAGTTCTTATGTCTAAAAAAGTCTTAATTTTGCCTATGCAGGGTACAGAATACTGGGTTGCTATATTTCCTTCTTTGGGAAAACTGTCTTGCTCCACTGTCTTCTATCTAGCAAAATTTCAGATTAAAAATTCCCGTAATCTTTCTCTTTGTTTCTCCATAGATAATTTATCTTCTATCTCTATTGCTTTTAAAATTTTCTCTTTATCACTGTCATAATTAAGCAACTTGATTATGATGTGCTTCAGAAGTTTGTGCTTGGGGCTCAGTGAGTTTCTTGAAACTATGGTTTTACAGTTTATCAAATTTAGAAAAAATTCAGCCATTATTTTTTCACATGTTTTAACCATACCCTTTCCCTTCAATGGCTCTACATGTATTTTATCCACTTGAACATAAACCACAGCTCACTAAGGATCTTTTTGTTCAGACTTTTTTACATTTTGGATAGTTTTCATTGCTGTTTTCAAGTTCACCAATCTCTTCCTCAGCAGTGCATATCTGCAATTAATCCCAGGAATTGTATCTTTTTATCTTTAGCACTGTGGTTCTTGTCTCTAAAAATTTGATTTGGATCTCCCCTTTTTTATCTTCTGTGTCCTCTATTTAACTCATTCAACCCCTCCTCTAGCTCAGAGATGCGCAGGTAAAGCCTTGGGCCAAATCTGACCCACTGCCAGTTGTAGAAATAAAAAAATTGTACTTCAATATACAGACACAATGACTATTTTACACATTTTCCATGTCTACTTTTATGCTACAACAGAGTTGAGTAGTTACAAGAGAGGCTGTATGGGCCACATAAAACTAAATTACTGGCCATCTGACTCTTAAGAAAAACTATGTAAACTCCTGATCTAAGTATCTTGAACATATTAGGAGACAAATATAACTGTTAAAGTCTCTAATTCTATTATCTGTATCATTTCTAGATTGGTTTTGATTGGTTTTTCTCCTTATGGGTCATATTTTCCTTGCTCTTTGTATGACTGATATGTTTTGACTGACTACGAAGATTCAATAAATTTTACCTTTCTGACTGCTGGATATTTGTCTATTCCTGTAAATATTCTTGAACTTTGTTGTGATATACAGTTAAGTTACTTGGAAAGGGTATGATCCTTTCAATCTTGTTTTTAAGTTGTTAGGTGAAACCAGAGCAACATGTAGTCTAGGCCTAATTTTGCAACACAAAACATTTCTCAGTACTCTCTAGTCGCTGCACGTGAATTACAAGATTTTTCCACACTGGTTTCTGGGAACAGGTGCTATTTGTAGTAGTGAGTGAGTTTTAGGAATTCTTTCCTCTAATTCTTTAGGTTGGTTTCCCCCCAACCTTAGGTAGTTTCCTCACACACACGTGATCTATACTCAGCTCACAATAGAGGGAACCCTCTACAGATCTCTGAAACTCTTTACAGCACTTTCCTCTCCAGTTCTCTGCCCTAGAAACTCCAGCCACCGTGGTCTCCTTAGAGTCCCAGTTCCATCTCAATTCAAGGTGCTTACTAGGTTCTATCTGGATGCCCCCTCCCTAATCTTGTCTTGGAAACTCTCCCCAGGCACTAAGCTGGAGAAATCGTAGGGCTCACCTCATTTGTATCCTGTCCCTCAAGGATCACCTGTCCTTTCTTGCCTGCCATCCAGTATCTTGAAAACTGCTGTTTCATAAATTTTGTCCAGGTTTTTAGTTATTTCAGGCTGGAGAGTAATTCCAGTCCCAGTTACTCCATCTTGGCCAGAAGTAGAAGTTCTAAAGGCAACTAAAATTTTCCAGATATGGAAAATTGCTTGAAGGGTAAATGGAAAATCATGATAAAGTAGTTGGGACCTAACTCTATTATTTTATGTATTTAAGGAAATGAATTTTTCCTCATGTTCATTATCATACTATTGATTACTATTTTTACAAGGTACCCAATTAAGTAACTAATTTATCCATCAAAATATATTTTATTGTTAGGAGTTACTGCAACCTACTGATGCTAGTAATGCAATAAAAATATTTATCAATTTTTAAATTATCTGTACATGTGAATTCAGCAATTCCACTTAGTATTTCTTCAAGACATGTACCTGAAAATATATTCACATGAACCAGTGAGACAAATTATATTTTCTTAGCCCACTTCATGTGGAGTACTTATGTAATGCCTTTTTGAAAGTTTTTAATGTTGAAGTAATTTCGAATTACAGAGAAGTTTTAAAAGTAGTACAAAGAATTCCTAGTCCCCTTTCCCCCAAACTCCAAAACATTTTACCATGTTTGTACACTAAGTTTTAAAACCATTCAAGAGCACATGGTAGACATGTCACCCCTTTACCCAAAATACTTTATTATTTCTTAAAATAAAGGCAATGTTTTATACAATCACAATGCCATGCCATGAACACAATATTTCTAACTATAGATTTTATTCACGTCGCCATTGTCCTATTAATGTCTTTTATTGGGGGGAGAGTGGAGTGGGCAGTGTTGAAAATCTACTGACCTCAGGCTAAATCAGGATGGTTCCAGTTTCTCAAAATCAAGTTGAGCTGGAACAGACATGCCATTCATTTACATGTTTTCTATGGTTTATTTGAGGATATAAGGACAGAGGTGAGATGTCACAAAGGACTCGATGTGGCTCAAAAAGCCTAACATGTTTGTTATCTGGCCCATTCACAGAAAATGTTTGCCAACTCTAGCTTTAGATCAAAAGAAAAAATTTTTCTTGGCTGAGGATTCAGTTGAATTTAGTTGTCATGTCTTGTTGGTTTTCTGTAATGAGGTATTCCTCAGTCTTTGTTTCTTATGCTCTTGAAAAATTTGAAGAGTAAATGCCATTTATTTTATAGAATACCCCTCATTTGCATGTTTGATGTTTCCTTATGCTTACATTTAGACATTTACACATTTCTGCAAGAATAGCACAAAGGTAATATTATGTCCTTCTCAGTATGCACATAACATTTATTTGTCCTACTATTAGTATTAGGTGACTTCAAAGTGGTATCTGCCAGGTTTCTTCATTGACATTAATATTTTTTGCTTTATAAATAATACATACTTTGCAAGGATACACTTAGAGACTATGTAAATATTTTGTTTCTCATCAGATTTTAAACCAATAGTTTAAGCATTCATTGATGATTTTTTGCCTGAGACAATTATTGTAGTCTCAGTGTGATTTCCTAGCTCCTTCATTCCTTCTACATTAGGTAAATTTCTTCTATAAGGAAAAACTATCTCCTCTGCTTCATTTACTGAATCATTTTTTAACTCAGTGTAGTCTTCTTAACTGTCATTTTATTATGTCATTTTAATCCATTCCTATAATTTATTTTGATGATCAAAGTGCCCATGATTTGGCTAAAAGGAAGCCTCTTGAAGCTGGCTCCCTTGGAATCTTTCTGGCATGTTTCCATCATTCTTTGAGTACAACAGCTTTTAAGTAATAGCAAAAATGTGGAAATTATCCAAATGGCCATTAATGTAAAAATTAAACAAAAGCAGAGTGAAGACAATATAGAGAATGAAGTAGAAGATATATATATAGAACAATGGTCAAGTATAATATCAGACTTTAAAAAGAAGAAAAATACAAGCCTATGTTTATTTGTGCTTATAATTTTCTTGAAAGATACTAACAATGCAGGGTTAGCATTAACTCTAGGACTAAAACTATAAAACTGAATGTTTTACTTTCTATTTTACTACCACTGACTGTTAGAAATTTTAAAAATAATTTTCAAGATTAATACTTTTAAATTTAACATTTGTAATTAAAATATTATAAAATTAATTTATCATTGGAACACAGTATATTTACAGAAAAATGAAAATGGGTAAAACTTGTGTTTTCTGTAAAATTCTTTTCCAAAAGGATATATTAAGTATCTCTCAAGTCTCATGTAAAATCAACAAATTGTGACTGGCTAAATGCATAGAGAAAACTATTTTTTACACTGTAGCCCTTGTAATATTAACTATATGATACTCAAGATTAATTATTCAAAGGTGTAATTTCCCCTTCGAAACATATCCACTTATTCTGTTATTTTTATGGGGGTAAGGGGATGCGGGATAGAGAAGATGGGACTAAGCTTATAATCTAGATACCAATATATCAATAACTTCATTTCAAAAGCACCTAATATAGTTTTGAAAATGACAGGATCTAACTCTTGTATGAAATGTTTTATTGAAAGGCTCACCAATATAATGCTTACCTAGTGAGTCGTTTCGGTGGAGGCCGCTCACCAAATTTTCTGGGGAAAAAAGAAAGAAAAGAGTTCAACAGGCTAGATGACACACTCCATAAGCATTTTAGGAAACATGAAATCTCCTTCATAACAAACACTTCAATCCTACTGACCAGTGAAAAGAGAAATCCTCTAGTAAACATCTATATCCAGAAATAGCAAAATACAAAAATGATTCCTAAACAGACACAGCACTTGAAGTAGGCCTCTGAGCATGTAGCACACTGATTAGATGAGGATTTCAAGTACCTTTCAGAGATACTTTGCAAAAAAAAAACCACTAACCAAAGTCCTTGTCTCACATCGTCTACAGCACCCAGAAGAATCCTCACAGCCCAAGAGGTGATGTAGAGGTCACAAGTGTTTATCACAAACTGACACTGAGCTATACATTTTTAATACACTCTTCTCTTTAGTCATCCTATCTAATAAAGAGGTGATATGCTAATTGACCCTCACACCATAGCAAAAATGGCAGAACTCACAGCCAATAAGGAGTGAATATTCTAATTGAGTGCCCTACCCTCAAAGATGGCAGCGCCCACAGCCAATAAGAAGGGGATATGCTAATGGACTGCCCCACCCTCAGAGATGGAGGCACCTACAACCACAAGATGGCAGCATCCAGTGGGGTGGGTAGGTGCACAGCAAGCTCCACTGGGGTGGGCAGGTGCACAGCAAGGGTGGGCAGGTACACAGCAAGGCCGGGCCCATGCACACCTGCCTCTGGAGTCTCACAGTTCCCTCAGCCCCCCAACCCCCCAGGGCCAGCCCGAGGCACAGGCAAGCCTTGATGGCAGCTGCCCAGCCACCCAGGGTTGCCCAAGGCTCAGGTAACCAGGGCCAGCCAAGGCTTGCGCTGCCAGCCGTGGCAACAGCAGAGGTGTGATGGGACATCACCTTCCCCTGATTGCCAGGTTGCCTCCTGCTCCTGAGGGCTCCTGGACTGTGAGAGGGGGCAGGCCAGGCTGAGGGACCGACCTCCAGTGCATGAATTTCATGCACTGGGCCTCCAGTTATAAAATAATTCTGTAAGGTAGATATTTGCCCATTTTAAGGTTGTAGAAAGCATCTTGCCCAATGTCACAGAGTAAATAAATGGCAGGCAGAGTTGAGATTTAAACCTACCGGTACATGTTGACTACCTACGGTAACTGGCATATGGTATACTCCCCTTCATAAAGAAACTAGAGGCCTGCGTCCTCTCGCAATCTGGGACCCCTTGGGGATGTTGGGCCTAAACCGGCAGTTGGACATCCCTCTCATAATCCAGGATGCTTTATGCATGCACCAGTGACCATACTTTTCACTGTGAAAGGCATCTTGCTGTTGCATGGGCAGTTACATTTTTTTGCCCTGATTTTTAAAAGTAGTTCATAATGTGATCCTTCTGAGGCAGTGGTGCCATTTTCCCCATCTTATGGGGTGTGGGGGTGGGGTTAGAAACTAAAGCAGAGAGAAGTAATTGGCTTTGTCACACAGTTGTAGTGTCAAGATCAGGAAGACCACAAAATGTGCAAGCCAAAGTCCATGCATGTCATCGCCACATCATCCTGTTTCTTTTCAGTGTTGGAGTAGTCTTGCCAGGTTTTAACTTTTAAATCTAAGAGACTGTTCCCAATATATAGGGTAGAGTCCCTAGGCCTGGCAATCTGTGGGGTGACTAGTGAGTGGGGCAATCACCTTGCTGGCACCCACCTTGGCTAGAAGGCTGATGGCACCTGCTGGCCGGCCCCACAGCCCAATTGCCACCACTGGTTGCCTCCCTCTTGGGGGCAGTGCGCATCATAGCAACCGGTTGTAGGTTTTTATTATATAGGATAGGCTAAATGGTCTAACAGAAGCCTTTCAACTAGTATTACTCAAGGATGAACTGTATTACTATTTTTTAGTTTTAACTGGTTAAGACAAAATAAATTAATTACCTATCTATTTTACCTAATAAAAGAGAAACATGCAAATTAACCATCACTCTGCTATGCCCACAATCAGTGTGAGTATGCAAATTAACCCAACAAAAATGGAGGTTAATTTGTATAGTAGAGTGAAGCCTGATATGAGGAGAAGAGCAAGAACAGAAGGAGCTACTGGAGTGGTGCTCCAGACAGAAGCAAGGACTTGCCGGCTCCTGAACGGCTTCCGGGAAGGCCAGGAGCGGGGACGTGCAGGCTCCCTGGTGGCTGGGAGTGAAGCCAGGGGAAGGAAGGCCTATTCGTGCACGAATATCATGCAACAGGCCTCTAGAGTGTGAGTGTATGTGTGTGTGTGTTTATAGGCAGAAGCCATAACGACCTAACAACCAGTTGCTATGACACCCACTGTGGCCAGGGAACTGGCCTGATCAGGTGGGGCAGGTGACCAACCTTGAGGCCCCTCCCCCCTGCCGGCCTGCCCCTGATCGGACTCTCCCACCCCGATCAAGAATGGGGCCTACTGCCAAACCCCCTCTCCTACCCTCCCGCCCCCCAGCCAGCCACGCCTCCAATCAGCCTGACCACAACGATAGGCCTGCAGCCCCTTCCACTCAGCCGGCCTGCCATTGATTGCACACCCCCACCCCAATAGGGAACGAGGCTGGCCGGCCAACCTCCTGCAGCTCTTCCCCCTGGCCGGCCATGCTCCCAATGGGCCCCTACCCCAATAGGGGTCAGGGCTGGCTGGCCAATCTCCTGCAGCCCATCTTCCTCACTAGCCCCCACCCGACCCCGATCAGGGGCAGGGCCAGTTGGTCAACCACCCATGGCCCCTCCCCAGGACGCTGACCCCTGATTGGCCCCCCCCACCCACCCCATTTGACTTAAGATTTCTCAATATTTGTGATGTTAAACAAAGTTATTAAGTTTGATGATAAAAGTTTTAGAAACCCATGCAGCTCATTTTGTTGAATAATACTATATGATATTGTTTATGACCTCATAATTTATAAACAATGGGTGTCTGTGACTATGAATATTTTGGTATTTTTATTAACCCTGAAATATAAGAAAGTGATTTTAATTGAAATAGCACTAAAAAATGAGCAAATAACCCACATTTCTGTAAGAAGAATTACTTATTATTCTCTTTGATTTTATCTGATAAGATATTCAATTTTTAAAATAAAAACAAAAAACCAAACCAAAAGAATATGTTTTAGTAATAGCATCAGCAAAGATGTTGAAGACCACAGATTTCAGAACACTGAACTATTGATTAACCCATGATTTGCAGTTGTGGAATGAAAGGCAAAAATCTACTAACTCTTTTTTCAAGAAAAAATATCTTTTAACCTTTGAAACTGATTAAATGTAGCATTACAGCATATAATTAAAGTAAAAATGCCTCACTAGGTTTGAAAGAGAATCCTATATGATAAAAGCCCAATATGCTGTGTCTGGTTGTCCATGCAACCAATCAAAGCATAATAAGCTAATGATATGATATGCTAAGGCTGCTCAACCACTCACTATTATATGCACCGACCAGCAGGGGACAAACAGTTAACCAGTCTCTATGACAGGCACTGACCACCACCACCAAGCTAACTCTGATTAGGTTAGCTTGCTGCTGTGGTCCGGCCAATCAGGACTGAGCAATCAGGACTTAGCTGGACACGTCCTGGACCCCTCTCTTATTCCCTCCCTGGCTGACCAACCTCCCACATCCCTCCTGGCTCGACTGTGCATCAGTGGGGTCACTCGGCCTGGCCTGCACCCCTTTGCAATTTGGGACCCCTCGGGGGATGTCGGAGAGCCAGTTTCGGCCTGATCCTACAGGAATTCGTGCACAAGGCCTCTAGTATTTTATAAAATCCAGGGAATTTAAAATTATCTTTAAAACACTTCTTTGCTTATATATTTTAAGTGCAAAGTTAACTTTATAAAGATAAAGTGGGGTGCAGCCAGAATCTACCTAACTGGTTAAAATGCTAAAAAATTTTTAGAGACAGTTAACAAATGAGATAAAACTTTTCAGTGATGCCACTACCTTACTAATTACTCCAACTATCAAACATCTTTGGGATCTCACACAGGTTTATAACATGACTAGTTTACTATATTCTGATTTAAGTATAAATTTTCTTTCCTGCTACTTTGAAATGCTTTAAAAATTAACAAGTTAATGTTAACAATGGTCGTCTTTGAAATACCCATTACATGAAGTCAACGATTACATAAGCATACTTGTGCAACATCACTCTTGCCCCCATAGGAAACATGAACAAGGAAACACAAGCGTTCGCCTGCTGAGCTAGGACAGCATTTCAACATGATGCACCACTCTCCAAGTATCATCCTCAGGCTAGGAATCTTATGAATATTAATAAGATTGTGTTGTTTCTTCAGTATATAATAAAGCATCTCCAATAATTGTGTGCCTACCAATCCTCTTTTTGAACCAGAAATAAGTATGACCAAACAAGTTTAGACCACTCTTACATAAGATCTTTTCATAATAGGGGTATGGTGTGTTTAACACTGCAAAAAACAAACAAATAAAAATTTAAATACTTAAGTACCCTAGGGATACTTTAATCCCATGAAATAGTGACTTACTTCCTCACTATAACAAATTATCACTGTTATCCAATTAATCTTTTGATATTCGAGGTTATCATTATCTCATTTGCATGAGTAGATTTTTCAAATTTTATGCATACTACTGAAATGTAATTTTGATTACATGTAATAATCATTCCTGTTACATATTTAAAGGAAAAAAATTATTATTCTAGCCTGTTGGGTTTTTTTTTTTTAAGTGACAGCTTACATAATGTTGGTTATGCCCATGTCAATTCTTAGTCTGTTCTGTACTTTTCAGGATAGGACTGGCAAATGAAACACAAAAATCCATGTGCCATAATTACCCAATAATGTTCATATAATCCTTTGGCTCAAGAAAATTTATATTATCCAAAATATATTGTCATATATATAACTTTAAGCTAGCAAATTCATTTTACTTTAACTTCACTAACTTTCTCCTTATAAAATAACAATGTTTTTGTATTCTAAGTAAGAAGAGCT